TCTCTGAAATCAATGAATTGTACATACATGAAGAAATAGGTTAAAATGAGAAATTATTACTGTACTCTCAAACTTACTGTTACCATGAGAGTACAGTTAGTTTAGAAAATATACTTTATATCAAAAACCAATGACTGAGTGACGTATATTGGACACTAACGAAATACGGGGACTGTTTTATGCGGTTTGATTAATTTTTCATTGAAAATCTCTTTTCAAGTCAAATTCAATATTTCAAAAAGATTTATCCATTTTCATATCAGTGAAATTATTCTTTACAAAATATCTCGAATTACATAATGGATGTAAATTCATTCCTGTTTTGTTTGTCCTAAACCGGAAATCCAGCTGTAATCATATGAACCAGAATATGATTTAAAAAATCATAAGCGTGAAAGCAATTAATTTCTTTTACGATGTTTATTAAATTAATGAAATGAATATGATAATGGTCATAATAGTCAAGTAATGTTAATAATGTAGACAATAATGTGATCATTTTGTTTTCGTTTATTTGAGAGAGAGAGAGAGAGAGAGAGAGAGAGAGAGAGAGAGAGAGAGAGAGAGAGAGAGAGAGAGAGAGAGAGAGATATGCATTACTTACAGTGGCAATATTAATTTAGCAACAGGTTTGAGAAACGTCTCCATATGAGTTGTATTTATTTGTAATGGTAGCTGAAATGTTTTCATTACCAAGTGTTCAAACTGAAAGCAGGCGTCATAAACATATACAAATTGCGTGAGTTTATGTATTCACAATATCTTCTAGACAATTAGACTTCTAATGAATACATTGCAATTCTAGCATTAATAATCAATTTTATGTGTTGTGAGAGTTATTTATTAAAGTTTCAAACATCAAGTTAATATGTTAATATCTTATTCATTTCATGGTTACACTTGCTCCCTCTCCAACTTTTCTCAAATGCAGAATCACAAACGCCAAATTTGAATCATATTCCATAAAACGCATTTTTACGAGCTTTAAAACAAAGAATGTTTCATGTTTAGAAATTGGACTGAACGTGATGTAAACAATACCCTTTCAACAAAACCGAAAGTAATTGCAACTTATGTAATTGCTATTTTTTGTGTAATCCCAATGAAGATGAGTAGATCGGAAAGGTGAAAGCAAATAACTTAAAGGTTTTCCTTTTTGGATAATGAATGAGGCAAATTTTAGATTAGTAGAAACACATGTTTAGGCTTTTAGGGAAAGATTAACGTACCGGAAAGACCTTCAGCAGCGTAGATAATATGCCATTTGTTTGTTTTTATGTCACATATATAGTTAACTTGGCATTATTTTATCGAAGATATTTTTAACTTTAACAAAAATACATTCTAGTTTAAAAATAATTTATTTCTAATTCATGATGCAAAGGGGGTTACGCTACAATTTATCTAAAGCTATTCCCCTAAAAATATTACGCAATAATACTTGAATCACAGATCAAGAGAGACATACTTTTGGTTTAGTTTGTTGGCTTCATCTTCTGGTTTAACTAATTATGGGATACATCCTGGATATGAAATTGGAGCTAATTCCCTTTATAAAGAACAAATCAAGACAATTGTCCATGATGGACTTTGTAACAACTGAGTTACTTCGCCTTCTGAGAGAGAGAGAGAGAGAGAGAGAGAGAGAGAGAGAGAGAGAGAGAGAGAGAGAGAGAGAGAGAGAGAGAGAGAGAGAGAGAGAGAGAGAGAGAGAGAGAGAGAGAGAGAGAGAGAGAGAGAGAGAGAGAGAGTTTGTTTTTATGGTACATCAGCACCTATATGTGATTTAGTAAAAGACAATTGGAGGAAAGTGCTTTGTTCATAGATACACTACAGTTGTAACTGGATGCAAATACTAATCCGTAGTACCAATTTATACTCTAGTCAGCCACATTTGAGAAAGGGCCACCACCAATCCACCAACTGTAAATAGACATATTATTATACGTATATGCTAAACTTCCAATTTCTTTGATAAAATGTTGCGCTATTTTTGAAACCCCAAATTGTATCATTAAAAATAACAGAGGATCTATGAAGAAGATTCACTAACATGGCTATCATCAGATTAGTTTTGCTGTTTAAAAATTTTATCATGACAGACCTACTACGAAAATATGAGAATCACGTGATGCCTAAATATCAATTTTAATTTGGCGACATTATGAACATTATGCTTGCATGTAGGGTGAATACATTTCTAGCATAATCTTTCTAGTGCATTGAATGATCTTTCTTAATTATTTACATGATAGATTTAAATCCTCATATGGTTAATATTGTTACGAAGTGATGTGCTGGAGTATTTAAGGTTACTAGTCAAAGTGTAACGTTTGCCAATTCGATGTGTAGTTTCTTTCTAAGATTATAGTTTGCAAGATAAATGTTTAATGTTGAAGGTAGTTCCTTTTCAATAAATAGCTTTTTTTCTAAGATTATAGTTTGCAAGATAAATGTTTAATGTTGAAGGAAGTTCCTTTTGAATAAATATTACTTTCATTAGCCAAAATCAATGATGTGAAATGTAAATAATTGTTTAAATATGATTTTCACTTAAGTCTCTTGATAAAGGCTGTGTATTTATGTATACCCAGTAAGTCCAGTTACAATTCGTAGAGATCCTAATTGAAGCCATTCAGATGATTTAGGAGAGCAGCCGTCCCTAACAGGATCAATATACACTAGAGTATTATTTAACAGAAAATGTCTCAAATGCAAAATAAATAAATAAAAATAATTTCGTTTGTGCATGGCTATACAAGTAGGAAAACATAGGAACGTATACACGAACACGACATAAAATAGAGAACTGAAAGGGCGTTAGATCACACCAAAGAGAAATTAAATAAACTGATAAGGAACAGTGCAAAATTAGTATCTAACTAGCCCGAGCGCTTTCGACTCCAAATGAGTTTTTTTTTTCAAAGTCAAATACAAAACATCGACAAAACAAACAAATAAAACAAATCCGTTGTGTTTGCAAAACTTTACTTCGCTGTTTCTACAGGAATTAAACCTTTAAATTTATTATGTTTCAACTAGTCTAATTTAATTTTTTACGAATGCTTTTTAATATTTTTATTTTTTAATTTATTTTGTTTCAACTAGTGTATTTTAACTTTTTACGAATGTTTTTTAATATTTTTATCTTTAAATTTATTATGTTTCAAATAGTCTATTTTAACTTTTAACGAATGCTTGATAATATTTTTAGCGATCTAGAAGTAGGCGAGCTATAACATATCTTGTTTTATCTTCATTTTAAATAGGCGCAATTTATATCCCGGATATTTCATTGTCATAGGAGTAATTATTGGCTCTTACGCAAATTTAGAGAATTATTTAAAAGAAAATATCTCGGCTGTAAATAATAATTTCAAATTATAAACTTATAAGCGAGTATATACGGTATCATTTGTTTTCATTTGTATTCCTTACTTGTGCTACATTTTGTCGCGATAATATTTTATAATAATTACAAATCTTTTTTTAAATTTGTTACTATTCAAGCAAAATTTTATTAATTTATCTATCTGAATTACATAAATTAAGTTATGCAAACTCACATATGTCACATATTGCAAGAGTTCATTTTCATTTACCATTTAATAAGTGAATCTTTCTCTCATTCTTCCATCCTTCTTTTTGGTTTATGTTTTAATTTTTTTTCCATCATATTTATTGTAAAAGAAAAGAAACTTGTAGAAAATATTTACTTTCTATTATCACTGTTACAGCTACAGGAATACCACTACTACTACTACTACTACTACTACTACTACTACTACTACTACTACTACTACTACTATTAAGAAGAAGAAGAAGAAGAAATAAAAGAGGAAGAAGTAGGAGGAGGAGAAGGAGAAGAAGAAGAACTTGATATTGTTGTAGTTGTTTGTGTTGATATTTCAGATGTAGCTTTAAAATCTGACGATGATTAAATATTCTGTCATCCGAACAAGTATTACATAATTTTCATCTAAATATTAGCATTGATAAAAAAAATGAAATCTTTCTTAAAACTTATGAGTTACTTTTACGTTCAATATTGGGGATGTATGAATCACATCTATTTAAAGAAGTATCCATTATTTAAGCCGAATTTAAAACTTTCTAACACATGTCCAAAATTAATATTGTACATTATTATTCACTAATGTATTGAAATGAACATAACAATAAGAAATATTCGCAGTCGATCGTGCAAGTAAAAATAAACTAAAGCATATGTATTTGTCCTGGTAAAGTATGGGCAATGTTGTGAATAATTTCTAATGTGGAATACTAACGAACAAATACTTCCAGTCAATGTTTAACAGTGCCTCGAAGTATTAGTGTTAATGTCAGGGACGCAAGGATCCGGATTGTGTTATTTGTATTGCAGTCGTAATTGAGAGATGAAATCTAAATTTACCCATTTTCCACTAGTGATGGTAATTGTACTTTTCCTGCACCCTTCCTTTATTTTCGACAATTAGTTTCAAAATATAAGTGCGTAAACATATGCGTGAATCGTGCAATAATGGGTCGTGTCCTTTTCAAGGTCATAAAGCATTTGGCCTCAAGTTCAAAGAATATTTAAAAATATTTCACTTAATATAGCAAATTAATGAGAATAAGCTGCGTGAGTTTGAAAATTCTTGACCATCCAAACAGAATCAGCCTGATTAAATTAAGCAGTCAGTTTTGTATATTGCCATCTGCGATGACGTATATGAGAACATTACTTCGTCCTATGATTTAATAACAAAAATACCTTCCAATTACAGGATTGTGGTACGATAGGTGGGTATTTTGGATTTATAACATAGCTTTAACAATTTTTCGGTCATATGGCTACGATGTCTGCAGTTTGACGGTTTATATTGATGTTTCGAACTGGGGCGTCATGCCGCAGCCATGTAGCATTATGTCCCACCTACTTACATTATCCTGACACCAGGCCGACCATTCCAAACAAGCGAGGAAGGTACTAGTACCATTTTTATAAGTCGTTGGTATGAATTGGCCGAGGTTAGAACCCACGGTCTTTCGCATTCGAAGCGGACGCTCTAACCACTGGGCCACCGGAGCGGTCGGGGAGCGTAGTATACAGTAGTGCTGTCTACATAATCATATGCCGAATAAATCAACTAGATTAAAGAAGACAGCCATCATTCATATTTGTAATCTAAAAGAGTGATCAGAGAACATTTAGGTACAACTTGTATTTGTATAAAATGAAAATGTCTTCGAGTATCTAGACATAATACTGATATATTGATTGTGCATTGAGTGAAACGCAAATATACAAATATTTATTGCAAACAAAGTTCAAACCTAAAAGTCAGCAAATGAGGCATCGGTCTAACACGGGTAATAAGAGCTATGTATTGCTTCACACATTTTGAATCCCAGAAATATAAGCGTTCCTTGAAGGTAAAAGTGTACGGCGCAAAGACAGACACTGCTTTATTAAAACTGTACTTTTTATATAGAATTTGCTCACAAAGAGTTAATGAAACAAAACCAAGAAATGGGGCAGTAAGTCCTGTCCTGTATCATACGCACTATGCCATATTCTTTCTTAAAATAATAAGTTTTGAAATGCAGATATATAATCACACAGATAGACAGGCAAACAAAGGATGAGTCTGTATGCAACACAAAGACAAATTATTGTCTGGTAATACGTTGGTTGGTATATAATTTGAGAAATACTACAGTGTCTAAAGTCTGCTACTAAAATAGAGCATGAAATAGCAATATTGCGATCGAAAAATTAAGTCCGATTGCGCTTGAATCAAGGCGTGCTAAAAAGATTAGTTTAAATACATTGCACTGCTAACTTACACTAAACATGGTACAAATATCTAGTGTGACTGAAACATGCAGAAATAGAAATAACATGTAAACAACAAAACTCAATTTATCATGTGAAAATGATACACACAACTTAGCACAGTATGAATATCTACGGGAATTTAACGTTGTTGCTTTGCTAGAATAGGTTGGTAAAATGGAGTTACTTTGTTATATAGTTATAAGTTGCTGACCTTAGTAATTGAACAGTTGTGGTTGTACATGAATTAATGGTACTACTTAGGTTTTAATTTCGGGGAGGGGATTGCCTATGGCAAACATAGCATGAGATTTCCACGGTTCCTTTAGATATATATTTCTTATTATATTTCATTCATTACATTACTCTGTAGGTCTAAAAGGAAAATAATATGTAAAATATTTTTACACTATCCAACAGTTAGTGCTCTACGATCCATCACTTAGTTATATAATATCCGATATCCCACATGTACCATCCACTACCACACATTCACTATCCAACACGCAATGAGTAGAGTGATCAATACTTAGTAATCTACTATCCAGCACACCACATATACGACTAAGTTATCACTATCCATCACCTAGCTATGTAATAATCAATACGCAATATAGACTGTCCAACATACCGTGCAAACTGACCGATAATACTGGAACACGAATGAAACGGAAGGACCCTTGAAAAACGAATTTCAGATTCTCTGTGAAACTTAATTACAACATCCCTATCACAGCACGTTGTCATATGGATACAACAATTTACTGTATAAAAAGGAGATAGTTCCAGTACAAAAATAGTATTTTGTGCTAAAACGCAAACGTCGAACGATGTATCCAACATAGAAACTGTGTGACTCCATTTTCACTCCATGTTCGATAGACTAGAGTACGATGATGTTCCTTGATACTGGAGTGATGGCATATCTTAAGATATAAGCCGTGTCGCATGATCATGCCACTCTACGATCAAAAGTGATACCATTCTTGAGACCAAGTAAAGTAATTTAGTGCTAGTTAAGATGAGCACATCCAGAATCTAAGGTTGGCATTGAAAGAACACATTTACGGAGACATTGTAAAAGTTCAAATGTAATGCAAAGAAACATAACATCTAATGTATCAAAAATGAATAACAACGTATGTCATTAGGATAAAAAAAGACTCGTTAAAAGCAGCAGCAGTCAGACAGAGGTTTTTGTGCGAGCTAATGATAAGACTAGTGATATGTCAAAAGACATACCCGACCTTGACACAATTATACAAATATCCGTGGGAGTAGGACAATGTCTGTGTTCAAGAGTTAAAGAATAACCAATAACTTTAGTTTGATGCTAATAGTGATGAAGAACCTTTGCACACAGACAAAACCATCCTCCTTATCCTACGTCTAAATGAGGCAAATTGTATAGCATAATTCACATGTTTTATTTTTAACAACATCTAAAATTACTTAATTTCAATCTCATCTTACTGCCGTATATATTTGTGCACTATATGACAACAGTCGCGAACGACAATGAACAAATACGTTCATATGCGTCAATTTAGCGTCGTAATATAAAGGTTACCAAAATTTCATTTATTTCCTCAATGTCGTTTCAATATCGGCTTAGTTATGTCTCTGAAATTCTAAATTAGGTTCTGAGATTTATGCGAGCTCTAAAACTTGCTTTGTAACTATGCAGTCCACATTGTCTTCGATGACAAATAGACCAAGGTAGCAAACTTCCGATCCATGCTTTTTAAACATAATTGAAAAGAAAACACATGTATTTTTGTAACGCCTGAAAATCCTGTAGCAAAAGCTTGTATCTTCGAATGTTTTCAAAGAACGTTGATAAAACCGATGGAGAAACAATTTAAACATCAACATATTCTAAAGTACATTGCCATGTTGCCATGTAATGCAGACAACATTTACTATCAATCGACGATCGTAGAAATATATGTACTTGCTCAAGAAGTTAAACCAGAAAACAAAGTGACTGTGATTGCTTGGAATGTCACAGTTAGCAATATCGATAAAATTTATAATGAAATGATTTAAATATAATTTGCACATAAGAAGTCTCTTCCCACAAATAAATTAATTTGTTTTAAAGAAAATGCACACACAAATAAGATTTCTGTACGTTTCTATTTCCAGCTGTAGAAAGATACATTTTAGACAAATATTGCATACGTAGATTAATATATAGATAGATCCGGTTAGTTTCCCATGCTAATAAGTGAAGGTCAAGACAATTTTGATATAAGCGTGTCTCAGCACGCGACCTCCAAGCTTGATCCTGACCTTTATTCATGGATACACCCTATATATAAGCACGCGTCCTAGTATTGAATTCATACAGCATTCTACTATTGTTTAAAGAGAATTCGAGATCATCCAGGATGAAGATTGCTTTTGTCTTGGCTCTGGTTTTGCTGATTGCTGTAATAGGTATGTACGATAATACGAAACTAAATGCATTTGCTATTGTCCTGGCTCTGGTTTTGCTGATTGCTGTAATAGGTATGTACAATAATACGAAACTAAAAGCATTTGCTATTTAATTTACCGGATTTGCTTTCAAACAACAATTTACATCAAGGTGCATAGATGGCAACTCTTGCTTCGTTACATTAATCTAAGTTTACCAACTTTGTGTCCGAGCCATTGCTATTCCATAGTAAAGTCAACTTTAAATAGTAAGAAACATATTTTAACAATCTTTCATACCGACGTTTCAGAGGAATTATTTAGCATTTACATATAATACGATTGCGGCTTCAGCAAAAAATTCCTAAAAGTTTGATGGTATAATAATCACGTCTTATTTACACTAAAGCCTTTGTTCAACCAATGGAATAGAATCTTGAGTACATTTGAATTTAAAACGATGATAAAAATAAGTCCCGTTAATCAAATGTAATTATTGATATATATATATATATATATATATATATATATATATATATATATATATATATATATATATATATATATATATATATATACACACGTATATGTAAAAAAAATTGATTGTGTTAGTTTTAGAAGTATTGTTTTTATTTTACTTTTGTTTCATTACATTTTTTGGCAATGCTTATTTTCATAAGACTCGAAATTATTTTTCAGTAATTCTGTTTATGTAAGACGTAAAACGTATTACGTTAGTAATATTTTAGTTTACCTTGGTCGGCGGTAGTATAAGCGCTACGCGAGAACGATTGGCTATTGCCAATGACATTTCGTCTAGTCAGATAAACAATGTTTTATTTTTATAATTTATTTAAGAGTGATAATAGATAGGGGTCCCTCATACGTAACAAATTGCATTTTTCTTATTGCGTTGTTTCAAGTGTTAGCAGACCACGTAGTCTGTCTCGCGAGAACTTGATGATAATTTGGGTGGATATAATACCATTTATGAGCGCTATTCAGTTAGTTACATTCCTGATAGGTTAGTATATTATTGATACCAAGCTGTTATTGAAATTCATTTGTAATTGGAATTTAATAATGTATGCTGTTGAAAACCAAACGAGTGTACTGTTTTATCAATCTGGGAGAAATAATTTCGTTGGAAATTTATTCTGGAATTTTTCGGAAACACAAACTGTGATTCACTTGAGTAATTGTTGATATTGGTACAAGGACCACATTTGAAGTCATCACCTTCCATATTGCAACGTCGTCGAGATTCGAACTTGCATTTTAATAGAACTACTATATGTTAAGACTTGTATATATTCAATCCTTAGTATTAAATTTTGGATTATATTCACAAACTGTATATTCTATTTTTCATTTTTTTTCATTGTTTTCTAGGGAATATATTAGTTTGTTAAAATATACAAGGTTTGTTGTCTTAACTCTTTTCTCTTGTAATTATTGTACGATCCTACAAGTATGTATCTATCTATCTATCTATCTATCTATCTATCTATCTATCTATCTATCTATCTATCTATCTATCTATCTATCTATCTATCTATCTATCTATCTATCTTATCTATCTATCTATCTATCTATCTATCTATCTATCTATCTATCTATCTATCTATCTTATCTATCTATCTATCTATCTATCTATCTATCTATCTATCTATCTATCTATCTATCTATCTATCTATCTATCTATCTTTCTATTTATCTATCTTATCTATCTATCTATCTATCTATCTATCTATCTATCTATCTATCTATCTATCTATCTATCTATCTATCTATCTATCTATCTATCTATCTATCTATCTATCTAT